AAGTACCTGTAATGTTATTTAATGTTAATAAATGGAACAATATAAGTAGCTAACCATTAATGGGAAAAAAAAGTGAGACTGCGTGTATGTAAGTGCGCACATGTGAAAACATATCGTCATTACTCTACATAAGAAGATGAAAGCAACACTTATTTACTGCTCATATGGTATATTGAAGGGTTAAATGTTGTACTCTGTATAGACAAGCAGAGAGAGAGAGAGCAGCCGAACTGCCGGATGTAAACAAACCTTAATTTCCCGGGGCTTTGTTGTTTTTTTTTTTACGGGGATTAGCCCACCCGGGCATAGGTCACCAACCCACATTGGGGCCTGAGGGGCAAAAATTTAATACTCCTGTAATAATAATAATTCAGATAAGTAAAAAAAAAAAAAAAAGCTGCCTATCTACCTATTGGACAAACTAAAATCGTTCCGGACCACGGGAGTTTCAGGACCACAGAATGCCGGACTACAGAGGTACAACCTGTAGTACTGTAAATTACAGGAGAGAATTGTAATGCCTTTGTACACATTGACATACAACTGAATACACAGATACATTACAACCAAAATGTGACCATCAGGAGAAGCATCACCCTTTTCTACCACTATACCACCAACCAGACTCACTGACACATCCAAAATGTTTACAGATATATGTGTACAGTACGCATTCCTATACTGTACTGTACTAGTTTACTGTACTTGGCTGTATGAACATGAAAACAACGAGTACCAATATCTTTTTCTGTAATAAAGCTACAGCACATTAGTAATCAATGCAAAATATTAGATAAATGGATAAAAATGCTTTAGAACCATGAGCTGGTCCCTGAGTGTAAGTGTACAGGGTCAAGTGGAATAGATACTCCACTAATTACTTTATCTTGGCACTAAATCCGATTGGGGTAACATCACTAGTGGAGTGCCCCAAGGCTCAGTACTTGGACCATTATTACTGTATTTATTATATACATAAACGACATAGATATCGGTGTAGACAGCAACATAAGTAAAATTGCTAATGACACTAAAATAGGGCGTGTAATTAAATCTGACGAGGACTCCGCAAAACTACAAGAAGATCTAAACAAATTTTTCGAATGGTCTGAAAAAATGGCAGATGAAATTTAATGTGGACAAATGTAAAGTACAGTACTTAGTCTAGAAGATGTAAACAAAGAAACCAGATATCAGATGAACAACGTTGTTAGAGAGAACACCAACTGTGAGAAAGACTTCGGAGTAATAAATAGGAATCTTAAGCCAAGTAAACAATGTGTATTTGCTCAAAACAAGGCTAATAAAGTACTTGGGTTCATACAGAGGAGTGTTAGTTACAAGACTAGCGAGGTCATTCTAAAACTATATCTTGTGCTTGTGAGACTTCACTTGAAATACACTGTTCAGTTCTGGCCACAGTACTACAGAATGGATAATGGATATAGAATCCTTAGAAAGAATTCAGAGGAAAATGACAGGACTAATCCCGGGCATTAGGAACCTTGAGTGCAGAGACAGGTTAAAGCATCTTAATTTGCACTCCCTCGAGAGACGTATAGTGAGGGGCAATATGATCGAGGTGTATAAATGGAAGTCAGGGTTAAACAAAGGGGACATTATAAAGGTACTCAAACTATCCAACCATGAGTGAACTCGTAGCATTGGTTTGGAAATAGAGTAGTGGATGAGTGGAACAAGTTACCAAACATCATCATTAACTCGAACATGCTGGATAGCTTCAAATTTAGGTTGGATGGACATATGAGTAATAGGGGTTAAGTGTAAATGGGACTGCCCAGTATGGGCCAATAGGCCCGCTGCACTTTCCTACATTCTTCTGTCCTTATGTACTGAAATGTCCAAATGCCTCTGGCAACACTGGGAATTATTGACATAGTCCAATTTTTTAGTTTTGCTTGATATTAAAATATATGGGATATTTTGAAATTATGCCAATTTTTAAGGATTCTGAAATAAGGACTGCTGGGTAATCAAGGTCCCACTGTGGTGTGTGAGGGTGAATAATATTTATTTATCACTTAAGACTTTTCAATGATTATTTCTTTGGGTAAGAAAGAAAAATCTGCCCAAATTTTATGTTGCACTGAGGAAAGTATTTATGCATTGCAATCCACTGAAGGACCTTTTTGTTGAGCATACAGTTGCTGAATTGATACAATGACTTAATGTTGTCATGTTGATGTTTTAGACATGATACTTCTCTGTGACTGATACTAGAGGTAGGTTGACCCTGTCCATAGTGTATCAGGTGATGTCAGCAATACTGTGTCAGTCCTGAGTTACAATTGCTGCTGAATATCCTAGAAGCCGCCATGGTAACATAACACCCAAAACTTGTGAAGTCGTTAGTGTGGCATTTTTTTGCATTAAGATACATGGCAGGTAACTAGAGATTTTAAGTAAAGCCTTCTGACAAACTTTGTGAATCATGAGGTCTTAAGTGTGAAAAAGTCTGGACGAAAATAACCTTTCTGCATAATACTATGACGAGACTATATTATACAACTGTGGGGGGTAAGTCAGATTTAATAGAATAGGAGGATTTGAAAATGTACTCACTAACCAACTCCAAGCTAACCAAACTAGCTCATGCACTCCCAGAAAAGTTTACCAATGAAAATCACACATTAGGACACAAAATCCCCCTGATTTACATGGGTGGGAATTTCTCATACAGGAAACCTTTAAACATTAAGCAGGTTGTCCCTTGTGGCCCCCATACCATAGCCTAATTCAAAGCTCCACTGAAACCACCAACAACTCACAATGGGGTCAATTCCTAAAAGACTTTCAATGTGCCAGCCTGGACTCAGAGATGGTAAGACTAATACAAACAAATAGTACAAAATAATAAGACCAAAGAGTTTCTAGGAAAAATAGTCCACTTGGCAGATCATCCACGGCACATCAGTAACATGAACCACAAGAACCTCTGTGGTGGACGTGTAACCTCTGGGACACGTCTACCTCAATCTAACCATGTTTAGTGTTACTGTTCATTCTTTAGTTCTTCCAGCAAATGTACTGAAGAAATTCTCAGTCCCATATAAAATAGTTAATTAGTCTTTATCAACAAGAAAATTAATATCTAAGGTATATAAATTACTCTTTTCAGCCTATTACATACTGGTCTACCAAGTGATAAGCTCTTCAGACACATTAAAAACTAAACATGGATCAGACACTTTCATAACATCCCTGGGACAATCTAAACGCTGTTTTTCATCAATTACAGGAATGTTTATCAATCTGTTTCTTCCCACAATCCTAATCTGACTTTACAATAAAATACACTGAGACATCCAGGTTTTTTCAAATTAAAGGCCTGGATATTTTACCCTATAGAAAATACCACATAGAATTCAAGACTATTTTTACATGGAAGATTCACTTATTTAATTCTACAATAAGGGGGGAAACATTTATAAATTCTGTAGACAAACATTGTAATTTTTCCGAGACAATAACTAAGCTACTTACTCATAAATGAATTTCACCACTGTCTCATCTCTCGGTACTTTTCTCAAAACAGTTAGTACTTTCTCCCAGACTGTGAGGCAGATAAACAGTAACAAACACATTCAATACCATTCCATAGGAGCTGAGTTACAGCCTTATTCCAACTAAATCAGGTGAGGTATTTTAACAGCAAATACTAGCTGGACAAATACCTGAAGCAGCTGTATAACTGTAAAACAAATTAAAATTGACAGCTATCAGTTTCTCATCTTTTATGAACACAACACAACTGAATAAGAAACATTATGAAAGAATATAATTAACCAGTAACAGAAATGACTAAACGGAGAAGAGAAGTACCTAAGACTCACCTGAAAAGATCAATAATGATAAAACACAAAAACGTCTAAAACAGGCAACACTCTCTGACTCTGACACACGGCTACACACACTGTACTGTAGCACCCACATGAATAAGATCAAGAGGAGCAACATATAAATTGAACACAAACAGAATAAATAAATAATTGTAATTGAAAAGAAGTCAAGAAGCACTCTTTATGAATACAAAAACAAGATTATGAAGACGAACATATTTATACTGATAGTTACCAATAAACAAGAGGGACTAAGGGGCCTGAATCAAAGCACTAACAGTAGCTACATTGACTTACAACACCATTTCTCCTGACCTTTGACCTTCTAGTGACCTTGACCTTTGATATAGAAACTCAACTTTGGTGCTCAACTATTACTGTATTTAGTAATGATACATGTCCTTGTGAAGTTTGGTTAAAATACTTGAAGTGATACAAGCTATGCTCTTGACAAAGTTTTAAACTCAAACCTTCAGCCGTGAACCTTATACTTTGAGACAGACATAAGAATTTGCTGTTTTATATTTTCATAAATATATCTACAATGATCCAGACATTCTACTTTAGACAAGGTTCTGACTTTTGAGCTTCATGTCACCTTGTCTTTCTTTAACACAATGATCTCAATATGATGTTTCTCTTATAACCTAACCTAATGTAATTTGTGGCCGAGGAGGATTTAATAATACAGTACATATACAGTAAATATTCACAAGAAGGATTTCAAAAAATTTCTTCTCCCAGAAATAAGGTTAGATGATCATCATATAAACAAACCTAAGATATCATGATATAAGGGTGATAATTTGGGGAATGATCAATGGTGAGGAGTAAGGGAGGATATGATTTGGATGGGAGAGGAAATCTGTGAGGACTTTGGAAATTTAGGACCCTACAGACACACATACAGAGGTACAGTACTGAATAAGACAGAAAGTTTGATATAAGGAAAGGTGCTAGTGATAAAAATGAAGAGAAAGAAATGTCTCCAGCCAAAACGAAAAAATTATTAATTTTGGCTTTTTTCTCCTCAAAATAGGTGCACTGAGGTCAAAATTCAACCCAAAAATATAAATATTAACTTCAGTCATAAGCTAAACTGTCTCTAAGCAAAAAAAAATAGAGAGAATGTTTACTCACTAAGAGGATCTAGAAGGTGCAGGTCCAGGGGGGGCTGAGGTCCCTCTCCATCATGCCCTCCCCTCCTGGGCCCTCCCTCTGGCCTCCTCATGGCTATCTCCCTCTCAATCTCCGTTATCTGCTTCTTCATGAGTTTTAGTGTTGAAGACGAAGGAGACTGTGCATTAGTATGGGGGGAATTCCGTGAGTGGATTTTAGTATGGGGGGAACTGGCAGCATTGGGGAGGGGGGAGTTATGTGAGTTGAGCGTTGGGAGGGGGTTGAGGGGTGGCAGCTCACCCCTGCACAACTGCTCGTCCAGAGACCGCACCACGGGACGTTGTTGTTGTAATAACTCTTGCTGAAGTTGTTCTTGATCTTGTTCAAACAAAGAGTCTTTACTTTCTTCTTCTTCTGGAACTTCCATCCCACTCTCATCACCTGGAAAATTAAATCAATATATACAGTAATAATAATGAAAAAGATGCACCTGTAGCATGTCAATTTATTCACTGGATTAAATTGCATTCAAATGTGTATGGTTAAATTTTAGGTGGACCCTAACATTCCCAGACATGACATTCGTGGTTTTTTACAATTCATGGCAACCTTAAATATACAGTACAGTACTGTATATAATTTTAACAATCACTGTGCAGGTTTCAACAATTCGTGTTCCAGAGGTCAAGCAGGGAGAGGTGATCCCAAGGCAGACCTATAATAAACTACAGTACAGTACAGTACAGTACAGAGGCACTGTTGATCACTTTTAAATCATTACTGTAAGGGGTGATATGGTACACTACCATTTAAGAACAACAAAATTTAGAGTAAATATGATGTGTGTGTGTGTGTGTGTGTGTGTGTGTGTGTGTGTGTGCAGTGAAAGGTGGTCAAGGCAGAAATGAGTACTGTACTGTACTGTACTGTACTGTACTGTACTGTACTGTACTGTACTGTACTGTACTGTACTGTACTGTACTACTGTAGAGTTAAGGGACATAAAGGCCATCCAGGGCAAGTCAAGACCACATTCATCTAAGTATAAATCTTGTTAAATCAGATATGGATCACTTTTTGAGAAAAGTGCCCCAAAATAAAAAAATTTTGTGTGAACGTGCATTAACCAAAGAATACCTGTACAGTATTGTATATGGAATTTGTTCAGGTACCTCAGGAGGACACCAAAATTTTACATGGGCAATTGTGGAGTTTAAGAAGGTTACCGTACTGTACGTGCATGAAGCAAACGTACATACGTACGTACGTACGTACGTGTGTGTGTGTGTGTGTGTGTGTGTGTGTGTGTGTGTGTGTGTGTGTGTGTGTGTGTGTGTGTGTGTGTGTGTGTGTGTGCACCACAAAATACTTGGAGCTTCTATTCACCTTTTTTATTTATAACAACAGACTTCTGATTCATGGGTTGATCTGAGTAGGCATAACATTACTGATGAGGGTCTTTATCGTGTAAACTCATTCAATAACAAGAGCCAGTAAGGATGACCCAGATCACACCCCCACAGTCCTTCTGTTAAATGATATGAAATCTGTGCACCGGAGAGAACGAGTCATCATTACTTCCTTATCTTAGAGTAAACAATGACCTGTAGTGTCTCATGTTGTATGGCAGTTGTTATAGGGAAGTGAATGATCTTCAACTAACCACCAGATGCCATAGCCAAAGGGTTTTGCTGGAGAAGGCCAGACAAGCTTGGGTGCACACATTAATGGAATGTACCAAACTAGTGCTACATTGTTAAAAAAATAAAATTAATTAACAAATTCATATTAAAATAAAGAATAATTCACATCCAAACAAGATGATCTGACTTACCTGAGGAAAGGCCATCCTCAAGGACTGGCATGGCAGAACAGATGCCACGTGAGGATGAATGGATAGACCCTTCAGGGTCAACTCCGGAGTAGTCACTCTCGACATCACCCGAATCACAAGAAGTTGTTTCGGGTGATAAAGTGAAGTTGCGGGAGTGGCCCACCTGTCAAAGGCATTACTCTCAGTTTTGACGGGATTAAAATTGTTAAAGTAGAATTTATATACAATCCTGTATTATAACAATTGATCTATTAATACTACTGTCTAAAGTGAGTCACACTATCATTTCCTGAACTGGGTCAAACACAATAGAGAAGAAAGTTGAAGAAAAGGGAGAGAAAGGATCATTAAAGAAGGTAAACAAAGAGAAAATAAACCAAAACAGAACTGGATTACATGAAACATATATGATTTCTACCACAGGCATTTATTATACTGTACTGTATATATTGTATAGTTTTCCTTATGTTATTTTTCACTGGGGAGAAGGTAACTGCTGTACATCCTTTCCCACTTTACTCATACTGGCTAGAGTGTGATCAAAGGAGTCTTTTAGAATTGTGGCTATTCTTCCTAGTGCAGGGACTATGTTAATCCTCTCTATTACTCCAATTAAACATACTGCTTAAGCCAGTTCCTACCAAATTCTCATCTTTAAGGGAAGACAAAAGCAAAAAGTCAATGATATACAGTGCCCATAAAACTGCTATGTGAAGTTATAACACTAGACTGTCATCAGTGATCTGTGAACCTAAGCCTTAAGATGAGGCAATTAAACTGATCTCACTAATAAAACGCAAATCTTTTCTATACAGTAATCTGGTATATAAAAAATCACCATATTCACCAAAGACTCAGTCAAATAGAGACTACAGGTCCCCAAAACAGAAACTTATCCTGTCATCTAAACTTATGCCTCAAATCTAATACTGTGAAGCCTACACCTCTTCCCCACTTAACGCAGGGTAAGCAGTGAAAAGTGCAAATACTGCACGTACACATGCATGCACACACACACACACACACACACACACACACACACACACATTTCCTTTGTTTATACTCCTGTTATCATTTTAACTACTACAAAAAAAAATTATTCTGCCAAGGTAATCTTGGAAAACATCAGAAGTACAATCTCCCCAAAACTATTCAACACTGTGCTCTCCATTCATGCAAGTCTACTGCTGTTTCCTAGATGTTCTTCCTCTTTGTATCCTCACCGTAATCTTCCTTCTCAGTGTTGCCCTCTCTCTCTCTCTCCATCACGGACTCATTTACTCTTCTCACCCAACTTCCACTTGTTTTCTCTCAATAAGCCTAAACCACCAGGTGGGAGATTAATCTGCTCTGCCTTACACTTCTTCCACATCTCCATATTCCTGTATTCCTCATTCTCTATGTGCACACACACACTCACACAGTATATGTATATAAATATATCTATTAGCCAGAACTCTCCAATACCCGGAATTGAAAATCAGGCGCATTTTCTGAGAAAATTTAGTAATATCTCTCCTCCATTTTATTCAGGTCTGGGAGCAAATTCCGAGGATAAAATAATGTGTAATTCTGAAAAATTTCAAGAAAATTATAGAAACTCTCTCCAGATTTTTTTGGGTGTGGAAGGAAATTCCAAGGATGAAATAATGCATAATTTCCGAAAAATTCCAAGAAATTTTTCCTAGTACATACAGTACTGTACATTACGTACAGTACCTGGAAAAATTCCGGGGAAACGAGTTTTTCCGGGTTTAAGTGAGTCGTCTCATGACCCAGAAATCTCTCGTCCCCGGCAGAGCTCTGCATTAATTATTTCAGCTAACAGGGATATCACTTGTACACTTTTTTACCTGTGGTATATCTCATATATGTTTTTTTTAGTTTATGATTCTTAATTGTTTGTACATGTAAATAGTATAAAAACAAATACACTACGTATATAGATACAAAATTTAAATGAATTCTTATGCATGTACCAGCATGTCTCAATTTCAAAAGGCTCTAATTAGAAACTAGGAATACAGGTAACTACAGGCACAGTACTAAATATCAAATTAAACATGTAACTGGAAATAAATATAGAATTGTAATAAACTGGGTTCTTCAGCATCAATTAAACCAGATAAGCTGTTCGTGCTATCACAGTGTTAGGACAAGAATGAAATGAATGAGGTTGAAGGGAATTTTCAAATTAGGCAAAGACAGCAGTATACATCACAGCTGGCCTGACACAATGGAGGGTGAAGGTACTCGAGGATAAAAATGAACAAGGCTGACAATGTCCTTGGTGTAATAGGAATAGGATCAGTGAAGGATGGAAGACACTAGAATGATGCAGGGTCATAGATATAATAATAACAGTAGAGCCAAAGTGCTTGAGTTAGGAAATAATGAATGTCATCAACAAAAGCTGAATAATAATGACTTAAAGAGAGAAGTCATCTAATGAGAGCATCACCTGGCTATTAAAAAATACGAAATTTCAGGACATTCAAAAGTACAGGTAATCCAAAAACTGCAGAAGAATCATATAAGAAATATCAAATAATTACAAGACAATTAGAAAATATATCAGGCAAGAGAATATTACTTAGTCTTTTCTCTTCATAACTTCATGGTAAACAACAAGTAATGCAGTATAGAAGACAAGCAATACTAGTCATGATACTGTAAACTCTATACTGTACAAGTTCACTAAACTACAGCCACAGCGTGTGTGACCTTCATGCTGTTTTCACCAACTGGCTCAATTTTTTTTTCTATTCTGGTCAAAATGCACTTACACCAGTGTGCACCTTGTATTTTGTAGGGGAATCCAGTAAAAAATAATCTCCAAATGCTTTAACCACCAACTTACAATAAATGAGTGACACTAAACATCATCCATTATTTGTACAGTATAACCACATGAAAATACTCAAGCATATTTAAGCATATTCATTTAAAGTTTTAACCTGTTAGAGTGCATGCCTCAGTGTACCCCACAGGCCTGACCCAGTGAATGGCTAGTACTGTGTGTGTGTGTGTGTGTGTGTGTGTGCACTCAAAGGAGTATGACACTGAAAGAGCCAGGATGTTCTCCAGGGCTGACACACATGCGGGTGCCTGGTCATAAATAAGTGGAACATCTTTTTATTCTTCATAATACAGTACAGTACAGTAGTTGTATTATATTCAAATGTATACAGTACTGTACAGTATGCACTAACTTTGTTAAAAGAGAATATTTAATTTTGGTCAATTTATAATGCAGGACAGAAGTAAGATACCATATACAGTAAGGATATTTTTTTTTTTTAAGTTTCAAACAAAAACAAGATAACTTTCTTCTATGACACTTTGAGTGCATTGTACCCACAACCGAGATACAGTACTGAAATTGTCATATTAGAAAGTCTCATCTTAATCTGAAATTATCTTTAAACACAAAATACTACTGTACTGTAAATCTAATTATGTTCTATACTATAAATTAACCTTAACTTTTTCTCAACCAGTTTGTGCTTAAATTTATCAGAGTACAGCATTTTATTCTGTTTTTACTGTACATTATTCTGCTGTATTTTACCAGTTCTACCTATTATTTTCTTCGTAACTACAGTATTTATCATTTTATCTACTCTGTATCATACATTATTTTCCCATTTTTTTCCTTTAAACAGGACTTATTTAACAATGTACAGTATATACCCACTGTTCTTTTTTATTGTAAGGCAATGTATGCGACCATTTATGTGTATACTGTATTATGTTTCTTTGACTCTACAGTGCGAATGATTCAGTAATTTTTCAAACATACTGTCTGTCTGTGATGAAGTGCGAGTCAAAAGGTTACTGAACTGTGAAGGGATAGAACCCAAGACTTGCAGGCTCCTGAGTCATGCACTTGTACCCTCTACACCACAGCTCACCACTCTTACTTCCAGCACTGGTTATCATTTCCTTCACACAGGACTGAGTGGGAGGGTCTCTACTACACTGGGGATATTTTTTCCCAAATTTAAAACAAACAATGACCATCATCATCAATTTGTAGTCGAGGTTCTGATTTGTATTTTTTTTTAAGACTTGAGAGCCCTGTTTCTAATTCTAATGTCATTTGTTACAACCTGGGAACCTGCCCCATTAACTATTTATGATTACTTAACTAAACCTGTCTGGACCTAATGGAAATGGTTCTGAGTAATAATGAGAAGTAATAAATATTAAAAGTTAAATAAATATAATATTGTGAATATAAAAGTGAGGCTCCAAATTGAATACTTCAATAATAAATAAAGTGATGCCAGTGAATTTTTTTCTCCATGTCTCTTTCTCTAATCTCCCACTCTGATATTCTCTCTTATAATAACTGTTTTCTTTCACATTTATTCCTAAATACCACCCCCCCTCTCTCTCTCTCTCTCTCTCATATTCAATCCACACAAGAACTGGGTCAAGAGTTAAGTCATCATTCTATGAGGAAAAATATAAGTTAAACTGTAATGACGCACAAGAGATAATGGAAGATGAAAGAATACTGTAAGAATAAGATAAAGAAGAAATACTGAAGTTGTAAATAAATAACTAAAATGATTGAAATGAAGCTGGCAGCCAAAGATCTAACAAGCCATCAGGGGCAAGGTGGGTACAGCACAGTGAATACAAGGCCTTTAATACTGTATACAAGATGGTAGTGTGGCCAAGCAACTATCTTCACTTCCCCAACTATAAAATTACTGTATTTCCCGGTGTACAAGATGTCTTTAAAAATCACCCTGTATCTTAAATGCTGATGATTAACTCCTTAATTCCTTAGGGGTTGTAGTTGCCAGTACAGTGCGAGACTAAATCTCAGGCGCCCTGATTTAACACACTGGTTCTGGATGACCCCTCAATAAAATATACATGATCATGAATTAAACTAAACATAACAGGCCCATAGTGGGTCAGCCTAGGCTAACTCACACCATGGCTTCATCTCTTTATTTCCCACCACTTGATAATGTTACTACCTGCACAATGTAAATTTGCCTACATGTACCCATCATGAAGGTAAGCCCTCCTACAAGCGAGTTTGCACAAGCTGTCATGATGCCGATTTTAAATTTGGCACACACTAAGGCTCACACGGTCTGCCACCCATGAGTGCAATCTCCTCCCATAGAACAATAACCAAGC